AGATAACACTGCAGTTAGTCACTTCATGTCCCAACCAAAACTATCGAGCAAACAGGCTCGTTAGCAGGAATTCCTTTCAGAGTTCAATTTTATGTTAGAGTATCGTCCCGGCTCTAGTAATCATGTTGCTGATGCTGTGAGTCGACGGACCGATTTAGCTGCCATCTACTCTGTAGCTGCTCTTTCAAGGAGCGCAGTCTCCATGAACACTAGAGACCAAATTCGGACACTTATGGAGAAGGACTCGGATACCCAATATCTGGTCGACCTCATCAAGCAGGGTAAAACTCGACAGTTCTGGCTAGATGAGGAACTAGTGAAGACAAAGGGAGACCGCCTATATGTTCCTAAGGGCGGAGATCTGAGGAAATCACTAATTATGGAATGCCACGACACAATTTGGGCAGGGCATCCCGGAGAGGAACGCACTTGTGCACTACTACAACGTGCATACTACTGGCCTCAAATGCGGGACGACATTGCAACATATGTAAAAACTTGTCTTATTTGTCAGCAAGATAAGGCAGATCATCAGAAAAAGGCGGGCTTGCTGGAGCCCCTTTCCGTCCCAACCCGGCCATTCGAAAGTGTATCGATGGACTACATTATTGGGTTGCCAAAAGTTGAGGATTTTGGCACTATCATTGTCGTGGTGGACCGTCTATCAAAACATGCAACTTTTATTGCAGCGCCTAAGTATGTATCTGCGGAAGAGACAGCTCAACTCTTCTTCAAACATATTGTCAAATACTGGGGGCTGCCTAAGGACATCGTCAGTGATCGAGATCCTCGTTTCACTGGCATATTTTGGACTGAATTGTTCAAACTTCTTGGTTCAACTTTGAGCATGAGTTCTAGTTTTCACCCACAATCTGACGGACAGACGGAGCGCTTCAATTCTATGCTAGAAGAATATCTTCGGCACTTTATCTCTATTTCGCAGAAAAACTGGGTAAAACTTTTGGATGCGGCCCAAATTTGCTTCAATGCCCAAAAGAGCTCTTCTACTAATAAGAGTCATTTTGAGACTGTTACTGGCCAGCAACCGCTACTCCCTCATACAGTGGATATTGAACGAAGTACCAAGTCCCCTCAAGCAAAGAACTTTTCTCAAAAGTGGAAACGAAATATTGAAATTGCTCGCAGTTATCTTGAGAAAGCTCAAAAACGGTATAAAAAGGCTGCAGACCTAAAGCGCCGTTTCATTGAATTTAATGTTGGAGATCTGGTAATGGTTAAGCTTCTCGACAGAAATGTTTACAAACCAACAAGAGGGAAAGACTCAAGATTGTCGTCAAAATACATCGGACCATTACCCATCGTGAAGAGGATTGGAAGAGTTGCATACAGAGTTGAACTCCCTTCATGGTGTAAAATCCACAAGGTCCTTCATGTTAGTGTGTTGAAGCCATACTTTGCGGATAAGGAGGACGCATCTAGAAATGAGCCAAAGCGACCTGTATTTGAACTGAAGAAAGCTGGAAAGAAGGTTGCTGAAGCTATTCTTGACCATCGAATCACTCGAGCTTCTAGAAAAGATCATCAGGAGTACTTGGTTAAATGGATGGGATGCAACAGCGAGGAGAATACTTGGGAAAGAGGAAAAGATCTCGGAGCCTTCAAATCATCAATTGAAGCATATCATGCATTGATGGCACTGAGGACATCGCCAAAACAAATGGGGGAGAATGTCAAGGACTGCAGCTTTACTTAGCCCCTTGACACTATCGCAGCTGCAATTTGCCTAACTTCGGCCGCACATTGTAAATATTACTTCAAGTTTGAGTTGTAATTTTTTTTCATTGTAATAGTTATTTCAATTGTAAAATAGCTCTGATATTGGTAAACGTTTAGTATGATTCCTCGTTTTTTAAACGTCTACTCCCGTCACTTGGATTTTTGTTCAGAATGCTATTATAGGGGGTATTAGTCATTCAAAAATCTTTCAAGCTCACTGGTGTCCGCCCCCTGCACCAGCATTTGTAATTTTCTGCTTTCATCAATTGTAATGTTCAGTTTTCATCAATCAATGTTCAATTTACTTTCAATGTATTCAAATTCTCTATTGTAAGCTTTCTACAAAATTGCAATCAAATTTTCTTTCGTCCCGACACGACCGAAAAAAGACGAAAGGTAGTCTAGCGGAGCAGACTACTGCAGCACAGTATCCCTTTTTGTGCTAAGAAGAAAGGCACCCCCTGAAACCAAGTGACGTCTTTTTATTATTTTTGTATAATTTAATAATTATAATGGTTAGCTAAGTTTTTCATTGTATTGGATGAATGATGAACCAGATTTGTTGTTTATTTTAATTTAAGACAATTAGTTTGGTAATTCTTGATTTTTTTTTATTGGTTTTGCATTTCCATTGAATTATTTGATTGCTGGATCACCAATTAAATAATAAGTTGCTTGTTGATGTATATGAATACTTAAATAAGTCTAGAACACAACGAAATGAACACATGGACAATAGATATTAGGAATAACATCTATGATATGTGCAATCATGTGTGCTAAATCATGCGAATCAATACACGTTTTTGGTATGAATTCGATTTAGGAATAGGATTGGGTCATGTTAAACATAGGTTTAACATATCTTGGAAAAAATATTAAATAGAAATGGATTATCGATTATCTTGAATGCGTAAATTTATTAGATTATGAATTAAGAACTAAAATAAATGACAATATGGAGAATTTAATATTCCAATACAAACATTTATATTAGATTTAATCACTTTTTATTATTTTTTAGAGTAGAATTAATATAAATAACAAACATATTACAACTTTTTTGATGTTATCACACTTCGAATTTAATAGTAATTATGGAATTACAAATTAGATATTATTTCTTATGTGAACGATACTCTTAACTCACAAATCTTATTATTTATACAATGATCACATACGCTTGGAGGTTTTCACCAAACAACACATTCATTTACATCTTGGTAAGTTGACGGATTCTGATACATTGATGTTAACAACACATTATTCAATGCATGTCCAGATTTTTCACACATAAGAGAGTGTCATCAAAGGTGTAGAGGATAGGTGTATAAGTAGATTAATCATTGTTTTAAAACTCTTTTTATTACATAATCATTTTTAACCACACATTTACATAATACAATTTCTTGCACATAAACTTAAAAAAATTTCTTACTTTTTAACAACACAGTCTCTTAAAAATATTATTCAAATATTATTATTTTTTTTTTTAAAATAATGGGCAACAAACACTAGCAGGGGCTAAAGCTACTCTTTTAGAATTTTGTGGTAAAAAATCAATAATTATACTATCACAATCAATTTAATTTAAAACTTATTTTTCAAAGCCACCATTATCAATTTATTAAACTTTTTTTAAGATATTGCTGATCGAATGTAAGATTTTATCAATTTCAACTTTAGAAACTCCTCTCAATAGATGTAACTGTAATTAGTATAATCAATAATATTCTTTTAGCAAATTATATATTTAAAAAACATCAATCTATTATTTTTATTACTTTTAAATTTAATATAGTCTATTACCTCAATAACCTTTTTGATTTCTTCTAGTAAACAGTTTAAAAAAAAAAAATCATATAGTGACATTAAGTTTGATAGTTTTTTTACCAATGATTTTAACAGCACTTAAAATAATTTATGGCACAGATTTTTACACCTCATACAATGTCAACCTCGTTGTATCCATGGAATGTACAAATAGAATCTTCCAATACACACACACAAACACAAGAGGCCATAAAAAAATTGAAGCAAAAAATCATATCTATAAGTATTATTATCAAAGACTATACTAAACGTAAGTTAGAGAATTTATAAAGGGTTGAATTTGAGAATGAAGAATTGGTGACTAAATAAATAGAGATAATAAAATAATGGATGAAAGGTCAACTAACAAATAAAAGAAACGAGCTTGAAAACAAGGAAAAAAAATTGAAAAGTCACTAATGTATTAAAAAAATAATAATAATTTACTCTTTGAAGAAGTAGCTCCTTTGGAAAATTTCCTTTCTTTTTTATTTAAAAAAAATAAAATGGGGTCGAGGCATGGCATTAAATCTTAGCCCGTCTATAATCAGAGCCAACATTGCTGATGCTAGTTGAGCTGAGCGTTTGTTTGAATCCCATTCATTGCGAAAAATACATTCTTAAACAGTATTTTAACATAATTTCAATCAGACATTTTTCAATAAAATAATATTGCACGTAAATTATTTTTTTTTAATTTTTTAACCACACACTTCTCATCAATACACTATTAAAAAACGCATTTTCCCTTGCAAAATGGGGCTCAAACAAGGACTGAATTTAAAATTGCAGATCTGCCTCTAGTATTAATGTTGGACAATTAATAAAATAGTGGGAATTAATAGTTAGCAAAAACGCTGAATTAACCAAGATGATGGCCACGGTAGTGAATAATTTAGGGATTTGGGCAGTGATTTGCTTTGTTGACGACTTGTAATAATTAACCTTAAAAAATAATAATAATATAAATTAACTTCAGCTAATCTAGGAATCAAAATAAATCATTATTTAAAACAAATCAAACCATTCTGATTCTTGTTCCATTAAAATCCCCACAGTTGATTGAAATGATTTTTATTTTTTTTTGAATTCAAAATCAGCTCCCAAGTAAAATATATAATATATGAATAATAAAATAAAATAAATAATTTTCAAATCGACCGATCAGAAATAAATAAAATAAAGCAAGAATTATAATAATACAACCCAATAAATCCTTCTAAATTTGTATATTTTTTTTTTTTCAACTTTCTCAATCTCTAATTATTAAACTCGTTAACCATTATAATTGCCATGGTTGCACTGCACGAGTGAATGAAGCGAACGCTTCCTTCCCTTTATGAAATTTTTTTTTATTTTTTTAAAAGAAAAGAAAAATCACTTCAATCTTGAACTGCTTTTATTATCCATCATTTGAATTTATATCTTTTTCAGATTTAAAAGCTTAAAAATGAAGGAGGAGGAACTTAAGGTATTATACTAATACTACTACTGGACAGACAATTTTCAAGTGGAACCATTATACATATTTGGTCCTCAACTCGAGAAGAAAAAGAAATATGCAAAATACCATTTACTTCAGGGTCCAGCCACTAGCTTGCATTGAATTTTAGAATCTAGAATACAAAAATTTTATGGCAGCAAATCAATAGCTCATATATTTCTCAGTATCAAATCTGCACCAAAATTCTTGAGCATCTCCCCAGGAGCATGAGAGTATCATACAATTAGCCCTTCGTCGATTCTGGCCAGTCTTTTCAATTCCAGTTCTTGATATTCTATCCGGCTCATGGCTTCCTTAAAATCTTCAGCAAAAGACATATTAATTTCTTTGATGAGGCGCCTCTCTTTTATCTTTAAAATAGCCTGTGAAACTACTTCTATTGAAGGTCGTTTTCTGGGCGTTTTGTGCAAGCACTGGTGAGCAATTCTGGCTAAACTCTTCACTTCTTCCGGGTTGCATGTTCCAACAAGCCTTGTGTCGAGTATTTCTTCCACACCATCTGGACTCAAAGTTGACTTGCAAAGTTGGAGAGGAAAATGAAGAAATCAGAACAATAAAGCTTGCGGGACAGAGAAAATGAGATAATAGTCCATTGAATTTCTTAGAGAATAAGTCTTACAAGATTGACATATTCCATTAAATTCCGGTTTGGGTGGATTCCCGTGATGAGTTCAAAAAGGATAACACCGAAGCTGTAGACATCACTCTTTGTTGTGAACTTGTTTGTAGATATATACACGGGATCTATATACCCATATGTACCTTTAAGGCCTGAGCAGTGGCTGTCAATAACCTCTTCCTTTGACAAACCAAAATCAGCAACCTAGTTACATAGGAAGCACAAATAATCAACATTGGGAACAGATGCAAACATAAATCACCAAGAAAAAGAAAAATGAATAAACTCGAGTTATAGAAGTAATGCTATTCTTCATGCCAACTGATGACTGCAATATAATTTCAGTTATCACACCTTGCTACATTCGTCATACGTCATAACATGTATGGTAGTGAGGAATAAGATAGTACTTAACACGATCAAGGAAGAAAAATAAATTAAAATCTTAGTTTTTAATATTGTCATCTTATCTAGTGTTGTGTACCAAACATGCATAAAAGGCCTCAAAGCAACTCGCAATGTGCTGATTTACCTTGGCTCTCATAGAATGATCCAGCAATATATTCGCTGTCTTCAAATCTCGATGCATCACCGGAGGGACAGCCTATTCCGAGGAATACAGTAAATAATCATGATATTTTCACTTACAAGATAAAGTAGTTGCTTTTACTTATAATACATCATTCAGCCTACCCCATCATGAAGATAAGCAATCCCATGGGAGATGTCTAGTGCTATCTGTAGTCGTTCTTCCCAACTCAAAATTTGCAACTTTTTATCTAAATGTACAGCAAAAGAAGTCATATCCAGATAAACAAAAGCAAGAAAAATCACAGAAAGAACGCTTGAGAAGATGCCTTGTGATGAATTTGTGGAGTTCATTAAAGATCTAACTCCAGTTAATAAATTCATTTCAACGTCTCGTCAAAGTTTTCGCTGGACTTATATGGATACATGCAATGATTGAAAATCAATCAGCAAACCATGGGAACTGGTAAAAGACGACCCAAAAGAACAACAGAAAAGAGTGAAAGAAAAATCCGACATAATCTTTCAGATATTTTGCACCTCAAGTAGGACAGCAGGTCAAGCTTGCAATGTACTTAAGAAACTGACTTGAGTAACATCAAATTCAATCTAATACAGGAGTCGAATAATTTCAATTACTTATATATATGTGTGTGTTAAACTTTCAATGTATTTTTTTCCCTTTATATTGTTACTGAAATAGGAAATGCAATATGATGAATACAAGTTTAATATCAAGTAGTTTATCATGACGAAGAGAGGTTTTAATACCAATGGACAATGAGTTTACAAACTCTGAACTTACTATATAAAAGATTCTCCAAGCTTCCATTGCTCATGTACTCATAAACTAACATGTGTTGTCCTTTATCTATGCAATATCCCACTAAATTCACCAAGTTCCGATGATGCAGCCTAGCTAGCAGAGAAACCTACAAAAAAATAAGGCCATACAGAACAGGTAACATACAATCTCGATTCCAGAAACAACACCTGTAAAATGCTAAAAAAAAAAAAAGGAAAAAAAAAAAAAGGCACAATAGACTGCAGACCTAATTTGGTCAACATCCTTTAACAAATGAGCACCTATAGAGGTTTATAGGGATTTTGAGCTTTAGGGATGTTCTTGGTAACCCAACTAGAGGAAGCATTATCATTTCAATTGGCACCCTTGGTTGACTAAGACAACTAATCAACAGATGGGATGATTGTATACATGTACAAACTCGAGGAGTTAAGTAACATAATTAAAATACAAAGCTCACTGGCAAAGCAGTGCAACTGTTGAAGGGGATAATTTGTATTTTTGCCAAATATCATTCTTCAAACAAAATGTTGAGGACTGTAGTCATTACCTCTGTGTGGAACTCCTTTTCTCCTTGTTTAGAACCAGAGTCAAGAACTTTTACAGCAACCACTTCACCAGCAGGCATTGTAGCTTTATACACTGGGCCAAATGAACCTTGTCCCAGAATAGTTGTGAAGTTCTGTGTTGCCTTCTGAACGTCTCTGGAAAATATGTGTGGAACTGAGGCAAATGTTTGAGTACAGAGAACAAATATTAATGCAAAACTGGGTTACATACTTGTAAGAGTATCTTGGTATTCCAGATGTTGAAACAAATTGATCTTTTCGAAGATTATTCCACCAGGAGTATCGAGGTTTCTTGGCAAGATACTCTGATTCCTTAACAGTTACAGAATTTGGGAGAGATGCAATGGACTCAACGATTGTACCTAATCCATTAGTTTGTATCGGAAGGGTAGCTACGGAGCGCAGATGAGCACGTTTCTTGCACCAACAAATGGCAAAAAATACAAGAGATGCTACAAGTATGCCAACAGCCAAACCAACTGAGATGCCAATAATAACTAGATTGGCTTTCTGAACCATTATTTGTCTCTTTTTCAAAAATCAGAACACAGGATGATCTTGGTGGGAACTTGTCATGATCTCTGTAATTGTACATGAAAGTCATATACCGATTAAAGTGAATTCAAAATATTTTAAGATTATAAACTCCATTCTTCAAATACAGTTATTTTTATTTTTGTAATCAGAATGAAAATCCTCTCACACGAAGATATGCTTCTGTGCTTATGGTTTTATGTCTGCATGCACCTCAAATAGATTGGGTACCTGATGTTTCTTCATCATAATACATTCATAAGTTTGGTAATAATCCGAACCTGTTGATGCTGAGAATTAACTCAAGCAGATAACAAAAGACAAAAGGGAACGGCCCATAGGAATATCAGAAATCACCATAACTAAGATACGAACCATGCCTCTTTTACTCCAAGAAATAAGCAACAGCATATGACTTATAAGAAAGAACTGGAAGAAATGATAAGATTCTCACTGGCTCAAGTTATTTCTACCCCATTTCACTATAATAGATATTGAATTCTATTTTCTGAATTCAGATATCATTTCAGTTTCTATAGTTCAGTCTGTTAGCAAATTATCCACAGGGTACTCTGTTTGGCAAATCAACATCATGGGGAATCTGCTGATAGGCCAACATGTAATTTTGATGGTTTGGCAATAATAATATCCCAACATTTCACGGCAAAAGCATACATGCACACGGCAATAAACATTGAGCTTACTTAAATCCCATTTTCAAATATGAGTAATCAACAAAAGTTTTGCAATTGATTACATTAAAGTGAAAAGAAAGAAATTAATTCATTAAGCAAAGACAGTCAATAGACGAACAATTAAAAACCCAAAAGATAAATTAAGTTCCAAAGCCAACAAGGGTTTATAATTATCAAAATGCTAGAGAATTTCAACGCGGCAGAATGATCAAAAGGTTTATCGAAACCTGGTAAAGAGTGAAAAGAAAAATCAGCTGGGAGAAAAAAAAAAACTTAAAAATACAAAAACCACGTAATCAATAGAATAATCCACAACTACTGACCCATGTTCCTCAAAAAATTAGGGTTGATTGGGTAATGCGTACATTCTTTTTCTCTGTTCCGTTCAATTCATAGCTAAGGACGAGGAACTAGAAAAGGCACACAAGCAACACTAAAAAATGCAAGTAAGAAAAGAGAAGAATTACCCATTAAATTGTAGACAAATCAGTAAGTAAGATGATATCAGCAGTTAAATTTGGCGGGATACATCACCAGAGAAGGAAGAATAATAACTGAAAATGAACTGAATTTTTGTGATGGGTTTATGGTTAAAGAATAAAAGAATTTGATGGGCAATGGAGAGTCGCAAATAAAGCCAAATGGCCGCATTTCTGAATTGAAAGACGACTTCGGCATTTCCGCCTTGTTTTTTCATCGTGGTTTTGGTTGATTTTTCGATGTTTGTTTCATTTGATATTATTCTCTTCCGCCTGCTTTCAACCCAACTTTCAACGATGCAACACAAAATTAATTATAAGTTGTTGAGATTTTGTCATGGTTTATTATAAGCAAGTCACTTAATCAAGTGATTAATAATCAATATTTAATTATTTATATTTACTTACTATTTGCTCACTTAAAACTAAAAATAAAACGTTACTAATTGTTCGCCAACTTTTAACATAACTTATCCACCCATCGTCCATCGTAATTTCTTTCATCCCCTTGGACAAAAAAATGAATAATGTTATTTACAATCTTACACTATGTTAATCTCCATCATAGCATACACAATTACACGTGGTCGGTGATTATTTGATACATTAGTCAATAAAAAAAACTATCACATTAATGAATTAAATAACTATTTGTCCTATGTATGCTACATAGGACAACAGTCGTACTAAGTGATTACGAATAGTATTACTTGAAAAAATTCACATGATAGATCAAAATTATAAGTGGCAATAAATGTTATTAAAACTTGAGAGTGAACTAAATATAATGAATAACTTTTATATATGACTACTATTTTTTTATCCAAAAAAATGTTATTAATTGATCACTCATTTTTACACAATGTTACTCATCCATCATTCATCTCAATTTCGTTTTTATACAGTTCGATGTGTTTATGCGATTTTTGTATTATTTTTGCAAATTACATTTGTTCGTTAAATTTTTCTTATTTTTTCTTCTACTAAAATTTTATTATCCAATTTGTTTATATGATTTTTGTTCTACGAACTTCGCATAAAACCATTGTCTTCATGATGGTTGAGTAGACAATATAATTATATCAACTTTTCTATGGTAGTTTTATCAGAAGGAGTGCAAGTCATAAATAAGAAATATAATGTATAATGAATTTATTATTTTTTGTTTTAGTGGTAACCACTAAATAATAATCTGAAGTTTATCAAATTTTCAGTAACAGAAGAAACAAACAAAAATAAAAAAAAATAAAAGTAAGGTCTTTTAATATTGGAGTATAAAGACATGACTTCTCAAATTTTTGAGCACTGTCATGACATGGGATCATAGATAGATTACCTAAATAACCTTATGCTCGAGACAATTATGCATTCACTCTCTAATTCTCCATCATGTCAAGCAGAAAATGAAATTTTATTTTATCGTTAAAATAGAAAACAAATTAAAAAAAAAAATTTGTGGAAGAAAACATTAAAGTGAATGAGTTTATAGTAGAAAATCAAACTAAGTCCTAGGGGATACAATTAGCGAAAATAAATAAATAAAAAATAATAATTTGAGGAAAATAAAATATATTAAAATGAGGGACAATAAAAATCTTATAAACAAATCGAGCGATAAAAATAAAAAATAAATACTGTAGAGCGAGTAAAAGTAATTTGCAAAAATCAATCCCAAGTCATATAAACAAATCGTACGGTATGAAAATGAATTGAGATGGATGATGAATGGGTAACGTAGTATGAAAGTAAATGAGCAACCAATAATTTCTTATTTTTGAGTGAACTAGGAAGCCAAAACTAAGATGAGTGATTACTTATTCAATTAACCCTTAAGTTTTAACACTATTTATTCTCACGTAGGTCTTCCATCCATCATGCAGATTTTTGCCAATGTGAACGTCCAGAATTGAGATGGATGATGAATGGATAATGGTTTGTAAACAACCTGTAATATTTTATCTTTAAGTGAGCAAATAGTAATCACATATAACAGTTAGTGTGATTAATGATTTAGTTAATTCTAGCCAAGTTGGTAATTGTTATGTTTAAAAATAGTTTGAAAGAGAGGGTGTCTAGCTTAGATTGAGTGGGCTTATTTTTCCTTATGTGACTTTGTAGACTTATAATATTGAGGGAAAATTTCATAAGTGGGAGATTAAGTATGATATATTTCAAAATTAAGAAAACAAGTTTCAAAATTCAAAAATCAATTTTTTATTAAAATTAATTTATGATTTAATTTTTTATTAATTTAATATATTTAGGTCACAGATTTATACAATTTGATCACAAATTAACAATTTAATTATTAATTTATTATTTTTTGGTCACAAATCAAAAATTTTATGCCACAAATTATTTTACGATCATAATTCAAAAATTTTGGGTCATAAATCAAAAAATTAATTAGTCACGGATTAATTTCTTATCACAACTTATCAATTTATTAGTCACAACTTATTTCTCGGTCACAAATCAAAAAATTTATAAGTCACATATTATTTTTTGATCACGAATAAAATTTTTTATAGGTCACAAATTATTCATTGATTACAAAATCAAAACTTTTATTGGTCACAACTCATATATTCATTTCAAATTATTAATTAATTTTTTTGTCGCAACTTAAATAATCATAAGTCAAAATAGCAAATTTTAGGTCACATATTATAAATTTAGTTACAGTCACATATTCGACCACATATTATTTACCGATTATAAATTAACAATTTACTAATCATAAAATAATTGGTCATAAATACTCTTTTCACCCACTACAACACCGCCAACCACTACCTCGCCAAGTCCATTGCCAGCTTAACCAACGCCAAAACCACCCAAACCCCCAACAACAAACGACCACTACTACTCCAACAACCAAAAAAACACTACTACCCACACTACTGCGTCATCACCACCACCACAATCTATCATCACCAAAATCACCACCACAGATCCACCATCATCACCACAAATCCACCGAATAGCAACTCACCACAGATCCACCATCATCACCACATCCCAACATCATACCACAACCGCCATCAACCACCGGACCTCACCAGATTCACCACCGTAGCCCACCATCAAACACCATCACCACTACAGCCACCACCACAAACTGCACAATCCTTCATAGACCTATCAATAACAGACAACCACGGCGTCATCAACAAATCACCATTTTCATCGCGACAGGTAGTAACAATTCTCGCAGATCTCACAAATCTATTTTGCAGCGCCCATGTGATGCTCATGCTCAGTTCCACGTCGACATCGTTACAGTGTTTCCGCCTTGGGCTGCGACGATCTGCATTTCCAGAAGAGTAGATAGTGAAGAGGGAATAGAGAGAGATAGATCGTCGACGATGGAGAGAATAAAGATAATTTGTGTCTTTAGTCCGACGTCGGCACCAACGCTCTCAGGTTGAGAGGTGAGGCGGCGGAGAGAGTTGTTGAGAGGAGAGGGGTGTCTGGTTGAAGGTGAAATCGTGAGATTGTAGAGAGAAAAGGTAGGTAGGAATAAATTAAGGTTTGAAATTAGATTAGATAGATTAATTAATTAATAACAGATCTGAATTTTCAAATAGTAAAGTTGACGTCTCATTTTTAAATGGTATTATTAAATGTCTTAGATTCTATAATTTCCTCTAATATTGATCAGTAACTGTTTCGTTTCTAAAACATTCTAGTCGTGTTGATTCCGATGACTTTATTAAAATTTTAAAGCTAGTTCCAAGTAGAAGATGAAGAATTCACTTATAAAACTTGTGAGTAAAGTGCTGGAATTTTTAATTTTTGAATAATATTTAATTAAATTTGGTTGAAAATATAGTGTAAATACCTTTCATGTGAGTTGATATATGATAATATAATGCGCAACTACTACTGGTGCTTTTTATGCACTTTACTGGATTGAATTGAATTGAAAAGGTGGTAAGAATTATAATAGTCCGATTCGTTGTTTGGTGAATATAACATAATTGCTAAATCAATCTGGTCAACAATTATTATCCTATGTGGATGGTATAAAATAATATGTGGATTAGAATTAACACATTATTACAACAACCTTGCTAGAAAAACATGGATAGGAACCAGGAATTCAATCCAGGCGACATGCGTCAAGAGGAAAGTGGACAGTTAAAAAAAAAGAAAAAGAATTTATAAACCTACCAAAAGACCTTGTTTGTATAGCTTTATTGATATTACAACAACCTTGCTAGAAAAACAGGGATAGAAACCAAGTATTCAATCCAGGGGACACGTGTCGAGACAAGAGTGAACAGTTAAAAAAAATAGAAAAAGAACAAACCAGGCGTTGCGTGTACCATGTGCTGCCACGCAACACCTGGTTTATAATCCTGTTAAAAAGCCCTGTTTTTGCAACTTTATTACTGTTACAACAACTTTGCTAGAAAAGCAGGGATAGGAAACAAGGATTGAATCCAAGGGACACGTGTCAAGAGGAGAGTGGACAGTTAAAAAAAAAAAAAAAAACGCACCACCTAGTTTATAAACCTGTTAAAAAGCCCTGTCTGTGCAACTTTATTACTGTTACAACAACTTTGCTAGAAAAGCAGGGATAGGAAACAAGGATTGAATCCAAGGGACACGTGTCAAGAGGAGAGTGGACAGTTAAAAAAAAAAAAAAAAACGCACCACCTAGTTTATAAACCTGTTAAAAAGCCCTGTCTGTGCAACTTTATTACTGTTACAACAACTTTGCTAGAAAAGCAGGGATAGGAAACAAGGATTGAATCCAAGGGACACGTGTCAAGAGGAGAGTGGACAGTTAAAAAAAAAAAAAAAAAAAAAAAAAACGCACCACCTAGTTTATAAACCTGTTAAAAAAACCCTACTTGTGTAGCTTTATTGCTATTACAACAACCTTGCTAGAAAAACATGAATAGGGGATTCAATCCAAGGGACACGTGTCAAAAGGAGAGTGGACAATTAAAAAAAACAGGTGCTGCCACACA